TTAAAGCTAACTACATAAACAAGAGAAATTTAATCTTTATCAAGCACAACTACAACTTTATTTATTAATGTGCTATAATTAATGATCTCATCTGGGATTTACTTTCCTTTTAACTCCACTGTGATTATTTTCCTCTTCTTTACATTAGAGCAATTTTCAGAGTGCACATTTCTCTCCAATGATTATCTAAGATTTAAACACAACGTCAGTTTGCTCTCCACAGATCTTTGCACAGCATATCAAGTCTACTCACAGGCAAAGTTTAGATAACTCTGAGATGAAATTATATACCCGAAGAGATTGGATAACCTGACACGGGAGGCACTGACGGCCTTCGTCCTCTCCAAACAAGAATGGTAGAGTGACGTGATCAAGTTGGTCACAGAGGTCATTCCTGACCTCATTCTCCCTCACAAATACAACTGACAACTATTTATCCACGGATAAGACACCACTGAGAAAAACCCTAGACTGGAGGCGGGAGGCCTGCACCTCAGAAGGGAAGACAAACAGTGTAAGCTGCCTCGGACAGCACTGCCCTCCCCCCGCCCAGGTCAGCAGAGTGCCGCACTGCACAGAGGTTTCCCCAGAGCCTACAGAGCACCCAGGGCAGACATCCAGTCCCCACCTCAGCACTGTGGGTCGATTCGCTGGAACCTGTACTCCAGTTTCATCCCACGGGGATCAAGGGGAACCTGTAGGGCTCCACCTTGAGGAGTCTGAGTGTGATGGGGAAGGGGGAGAGGCTGGCAACAACCATGGCCTGGGACGTGGCAGACCCAATTCCTACCTGCAGTGTCCAAGGAGGAGTCCCAATCAGGATCATCCCTCTGCCGCAGAGCCAAGATGGCAGCACAGGGTGACCAGGGAGCTCAGTGGATGCAGGTCTGCTGGCTCTGGAGCCTGGTCTGGTCCACTCAGGCAGAGATGTTTTATAGCTGTGCCCACAGCTGATGCAACTCCTGATACCTACCGACCAGAAAGCCTACACATGGAAGCTGCATAACCAGCAACACTAGAGCAGAGTCTGGCAGACAGAGCTGATCATCTGCAGAGCAAAACCAGTGCTCTGTTCAGACAGGGCGACTAATTAGTAGCCCACTGTGGAATGCAAATGTCAGACACCTGAACCTCAGCAGAGTTCACAGAAAGCTGTGTAGTCCATCTAATATCCCTGCTCATGGTGGCCCTTCAGCAGACAGTACATTCAGTGGTTTCCCAACGTGAAGAGCAAAACCCATGGCTCTGCCTGACCAGAGAATTCAGTACATATCTTGCCTGATTTGGGTACTTAAACCAGCAAATTTCAGAAATGAAGGAGAAATAAAGATTTTTCTGAACAAACAAAAGTTACAGGGGAATTCATTGCCACAAGAAATGCTAAAAGGTGTTCTTTGAGTGGAAGTAAAAGAATGCTAATTACCATTAAAAAACCCATTGGTAGTGGAAAACTCACTGGAAATGGTAAATATATGGTCAAAGATAGATTCTTTCATATGGTAATGGTAGTGCATCATTCACTTAACAACTATAGTTTAAAAAGTTAAAACACAAAACACTAAAAATTATAACTACAATGTTATTGGATACACAATGTAAAAATATGTAAACTGTAACATCAATAATCCAAAATGTGAGGGGGAGGAGAAGTAAAAATGTAAAGTTTAAGAATGCAAAGAATATATAGAAAAGATCAATAAAACAAAGAGCTGTTTTTTTTGAAAGGATAAAATTGACAAATCTTTAGAAAGACACACACACAAAAATTAGAACTAAAAGAAGTTACAACTGATACTACAGTAATACAGAGGATCCTAAGAGACTTATGAACAATTATGCCAACAAATTAGACAACATAGAAGAAATGGATAAATTTTTAGAAAATTACAACCTACCAAAGCTGAATCATGATGAAACAGAAAATTGAAACAGACCTATTACTAGCAAGGGGATTGAATCAGTAATCAAAACCTCCAAAGAAACAAAAGTCCAGAGCCATATCGCGTCATAGGTAAATCCTACCAAACATTCAAAGAACACCAATCCTTCTCAAACTCTTCAAAAAATAAAAGAGGGAAGCCTTCGAAACTCATTTTACAAGGCCAGCATTAACCTGATACCAAAACTATACACATGACACCACAAGAAAAAATTATATGCCAATATCCTGATGAACACAGATGCAAACATTCTCAAAAAAAAATTTACAAACTGAATTCAAGGACACATTAAAAGGATCATACAATGCAATCAAGTGGGATTTATTCTAGGGATGCAGAGATTGTTCAACACCCGCAAATTAACCAGTGTGATACTCCGTATTAACAGAATGAAGGTTAAAATTGTATGAACTAAATAAATGTTGAAAAAGCATTTGACAAAATTCAACATCCACTTATGATTAAAAATTGTAAACAGAGTGGGGAAGTATACATCAGCATAATAAAGGCACCATTATACAACAAGCCCACAACTAGCATCATATTCAATTGTGAAAAGCTAAAAGCTCTTCCTTTGAGATCAGGAACAACACAAGGATGTACTCTTTCACCACTTTTATTTGAAATAGTATTGGAAGTCCTAGCAGGAGCAATCAGGCAAGAAAAAGAAAAGGCAAAGAAATCAGGCAAAGGAAAAAAGAAATCAGGGGAAAAAAAAAGAAATCAGGCAAAGAAAAGAAAAAGAAAAAGGGAAAGAAAACAGTACAACAGCAGTCACTATCTGCAGATCTAAACACTCCATCAGAAAAAAAAAACAAACCCAAAACAGTAAGAACTAATAAATTCAATAAAGTTGTAGGATACAAACTATACAAAAATCTTTTTTTAAACTCATAAACTATTAAAAAGAGCAATTAAGAAGACAATCCCACTTATAAATGCATCAAAAAGAATAAAATCCTAGGAATAAATTCAATCAAGGAAGTTGAAAGTCCTGCATATTGAAAACTACAAAACATTAATAAAAGAAATTGAAAAAGTCACAAATAAGTTGAAAGACATTCCAAGATCATGGATTGGAAGAATTAATACTGTTCATATGTCCATACTACCCAAACCAACTTACAGATTCAATATAATCCCTATCAAAATTCCAATGGCATTTTGCATAGAAAAAAAACAATCCAAAAATTTGCATAGAACCACAGAAGATTCCAAATGGCCAGAGCAATCTTAAGAAAGAACAAGGATGAAGCACCACCTGATTTCAAACTGTATTACATAACCACAGTCATCAAAACAGTGTAATACTGGCATAAAAACAGACAGATCAATGGAACAGAAGAGAGCCCAGAAATAAATCTGTGCATACATAGCTAACTAATTTATAACGAAGGAGACAAGAATATACAATTGGGTAAGAACATTTTCTTTAATAAATGGTGTTGGGAAATTTGGACAGCTACATGCAAAAGAATGAAATTGGACACCATCTGAACACCATACACAAAAATTAACTCAAAATGGATTAAAGGTTTAACATGAGACCTGAAATCATAAAACTCCTAGAAGAAAACATAGGCAGTAACTTCCCTGACATAGGTCTTGAGGATTTTTGAATCTGACACCAAAAGCAAAAGCAACGAAAGCAAGAATAAACAAATGTGACTATTTCAAATTAAAAAGCTTCTGCAAAGCAAAGGAAGCTACTGACAAAATGAAAAGGCAGCCTACCAAATGGAAGAAATTGATTGCAAACTATATATCTGATAAGGGCTTAATATCCACAATATACAAAGAACTCGTAACTCAATAGCACAATCAGATTTAAAAATGGGCAAAATATCTGAATAAACATTTCCCAAAGAAGACATACAGATGGGCCACAGTATATAAAAAGATGCTCAACATCATTAATCATCAGGGAAATGCAATCAAAACCACAATGAGGTATCACCTCACACTTGGCAGAATGGCTATAATCAAAAAAGATAAGAAATAACAAGTGTTGGTGAGGGTGGACTGGAGAAAAGGGAGCCCTTGTGCGCTGTTGGTGGGAATATAAACTGATGCAGCCACTGTAGAAAACAGTATGGAGTTTCCTCAACAAATTAAAAATAGAACTACCACATAATCCAGCAATTCCACTTCTGAGTATTTAGCCAAAGACAACAAAAACACTAACTGGAAACGATCAATACACTTCCCTGCTCATTGCAGCATTATTTACAGTAGCCAAGATATAGAAACAACCTACGTGTCCACCCATGGAGACGAATGGATAAAGAAATTGTGGTGTATCTGTACAATGGAATATATCTACTCAAAAAAAGAGAAAGAAACCCTGTGTTTGTGACAACACAGAGGGGCCTTTAGGGCATTATGTTAAGTGACAGAGAGAAATACTGGATGATCTCCTACTATGTGGAATCTATTTATTAAAAGAAAAAACAAATAAATAAACAAACAAATAAATAAATAAATGAAACCTAACAAGAAAGATGAAAGAGAGAACATATTTTTAAGTACCAGAGGCAGGGAGAGCAGGAGTGGGAGGGGAAATTGGTCAAATTGTACAAACCTTTAGTTATAAGATTAGGGAGTACTAGGGATATAATGTACATGATGACCATAGTTAACACTGCTCTGTGGTACATTTGAAAGTTGTTAAGAGAGTAAATCCTAAGGGTTTTCACCATAGGGAAAAAATTTTTTTGTCTTCTCTTTTTTTGTATTTGTATGAGATAATGGCAACTAAACCTACTGTGGTAATCATCTCACAATATTTGTAAGTCAAATTATTATGCCACACACTTTAAACTTATACAGTGCTATGTGTCAATTACATCTCAATAAAACTAGAAAAAAATGGCACAGAGTTATAAACATTATTAAATTTTATTAACAAAAACTTTATACATTTTCTTTAATACATGTGGAATTTTACATCTAGGTAAAATAACAACACGTTCAAAATTTACCATTTATACAAATTGTTACAGAATAACAACCAGTGGGTTAAATAAGTAAAATAAACCACACCGATTTTTTTTAATTATCTACAAAAGATTTGACTTTCTTTAAAATTCCCCTGAACATATAAAAATAAATTAATTTTACTTTTTAATTAAATCTACCAATTAGAAATATTACAAATCAAAATATCAATGTTATCTTGTGAATTTTTCACAATACAAAACAGATTCACAAAACCTTATTTACAGAAATGAGGTAAGAACTGTGCAATGTTTAACCAAGAGACATATTGCAGAATTAACATGTTCTTCTACCTAAGTACACAGTGGAGGTCTAATTATAGCTGGGTCTTTTCCACTAATAGTTCACACATTTAAGTACAGTTCAATGATTACGTCCCCAATTGTTTAATCTATACACTGCCACACTCTCATACCAGTAGTGTGGCGACCCAAAGTGGAAGGGCTGTAATACAGATTTCACCTGTTTCAGAAATTGTAGTGGTGGGTTGTCTTTTTTGTTTGAAATCACTGTCAGTAATGGAAAGTTATTTAAATTAAAAAACAAAAATCCTTATCAAATCCACTCATTTTTCTTGTGACTCATTAGTGGATAAATACCCAGGTAACAGTTTTGCCTGAGCTATCTATGGTGGCATAGAAAATTTTTAATAAAGGCAGAATCATGGGGAAGGCTGCTGGTGCAACGCTGACTATTCTTACTACTCACAAGGACTGACTATAATATAGTGCAAGCTCAGCTGTCTAGAGCCATTTCAACACTATGACGGTACTTACAGGCACTTGATGCAGGCCAAACCCTACCATCAGTTTCCAGAGTGGCCCTCGTTTCTGAAAGAAGTCTTTCACTTTGAATTGATCTGGTTCCCCCAGCAGCCTAGAACTCACGTAACTCAAAGTTTCTTTGAAATATGGGTAGGTCTTAATATTAAAGAAAAAGCATTTAGCAAAAGAAAATTACCTTTAGCAGAGGCAGACATATTACCATCCTAACTTGATTACCAAAATTGCCAGATCCCATTAGAAAGGAAATTTTTGTAACAAAGATTGCAAAGTTCCAGTTGATGATCTATTTATTTGCAACAAACCAATAAAACTGCAGAAGAAATTTGACAGTTCCTTGAAATTTAAGTTTTGACTCACAGAGTAAGCACACTGTTACCAAAACAAAATATATTTTCATATTCCAACTTGTACAATAAAATTGAATACTTTATAAGTGGAATAAGTCTTTAGTTTTACTATTCATCTCTCCAATTTGTAACAAAATTAATTATGCACCACTATATTAAATTTCTCTTAGATTGATAAACTCATTGCATGTAAATTATTTCACTGACAAAAGTTAGTTTTGTTTTTTTTTTTTTCAAAGTTCAAAAAATCTGGGTGAGGGATGGGGGATATGGGAATTCCATTTCAGTGCAACAAAGCAACAAGAAAATTAATCAAAGCCTTACAAGAATGTCCTTGTGGCAATTAATCTTTTGTTGTGCGGTTAGTTTCTTGCTGCATTTCTTCATAGGTGTAGTAAGAGGACTGCAACAGCAGCCAGATGAAGTGCTAGAACAGCAGGACAGGCAATTTCTAGATGTTTCTCAACTGTCAACTTTTCTCCTGAGCAACAGGCCCGGTTTTATCACTAAGTCTCTGCAGTTAAACAAAATCAGATGCATTAGTGAAATCAATTTTGGGCTCACATTTGAGGTGATATCCTCTTAACTGAAATTATAATTAAGGCAAAATATGGAATATGGTCATTCTTTTTATTCTACAAGTCAACATGGCTACTTTTCAGCATAATATAAAAACAAATTTACTGGTAAACACTATCAGTTGTTTTATAAATATGAAATTCAGCAGTAAACAAAGGCAGATATGCCCATCTGAGAGACAGAACTCACAAGGAATGAATATAGGAATCATTCCCTGAAACTGACTTTTCCATAGAAGTAGTAACATGGTATGGAAAATGAGTATTTTATGGACTAACAAAGTCATGGGTTCTGATCCAACATGTGCTTTTTATCTTTTGATTTTTACTCCTTTCAGTCTCCTTTTACTCATCTATAAAAATGGGATTACAGCCTATTATTATTTTAAACACTGAAATCACAAGTACTATTGTATCTAACGAAGATATCTGGTATATAGTAGGTACTCATAAACAGTATTTTCCAACCTTGCTTTCCTCCATTAGGTAATTAATACTATTATTTTATATTATTTACTATTGTGGTTTTTCTTTTAAAATACATCCATATAATACAGAAAAGTTAGCTTGTAATTAATTCACTTTTTAACACATACAAAAAAAAAATTAAGAGGAAAAAAATAGTATACAAATTTTCTTAAATTTCCCACATCAGCCAAACACTGGAGAGGTAACTAAGTTTGTGATAAGGACAGTATGTATTCACAATCAGGAAGTCAGAAACAAAGGATCAAACAAAACCCAATAGTCTATTTTAAACCAATTCTTGTAACTAAATAAAAACTAAAATGTCTAAAGACCAAAAGCACAGTCAACAGCAAGCTTTCAAGTTATGGGAAAGAGCAAACATTGTGACTTTTATTTGCCAAGTTTCCCACCTCATTCTTTCCCTTCTTCCTTTTCCTGATGTCCAGTCTCCACTCTATATCCCAATATCCTTCCTCTAACAGGATTCTGCCCTGAACTGGAATTTAGGAAAAACATTTACACTCCAGTAAAGTAGACCTAATCAAAGGGGAGAATTAATAGAAAGAAACAGCCTTAAAAATATATACTACTATATGTATAGTGTACTGCTCCTGTACTCATTTTTAATTTATCCTCACTTATACATTGACAGGGAAAGTTGCTATCACTTATATACCATTAATACAAATTTAAATTCCAGCCCTGACCTGTGTGGTTCAGGTGGTTGGCCATCATCTGGCAAAGTGAACAGCTGCAGGTTCAATTCTCAATCAGGGCACATGCCTGGGTTGTGGGTTTGGACCCTGATCGGTTTATTGTACAAGAGGCAACAAATCGATGTTTCTCTCTCATGTTAATGTTTCTCTCCCTCTCTTTCTCCCTCTCTTCCCCCTCTCTAAAAATAAATAAATAAAATCTTTAAAAAAATTAAATTACATTGCAAATATGATATAATTTACTTTTTTAAAAAAGATTTTATTTTTAGAGACAGGGAAGGGAGGGAGAGAGGGAGAGAAACATCAATGCGTGAGAAAAATATTGATTGGTTGCCTCCCCTACACCCCTAACCAGACACTTGGCCCACAACCCAGACATGTACCCTGACAGGGAATCGAACCCATGATCTTTTGCTTTGTGGGATGATGGCCAACCTACTGAACCACACCAGTCAGGGCTATAAATTAGGTTTTTAAAAAAATGTAACCTGCTTGAATGGTAGAATGTAACCTGCTAAAATTTATATATTAATGTTACTATAAATATAAGTCAGTTTTAGGAAGCACTTCGGAGTAAAATAAAAGTATTCCTAAAATATTAAGACTAGCTCTATAATTAAACAAATTAAAGATTCTCACAAAGCATGAAGTATTATTGTCTTCTGAGTGGACTATCCCATGCCACTGTAACCGAATATATTTTCATTTTGAAAAATGCTGAATTATAAGATGGCCTTCATACCTTATGTGCAAATTCAAACTGATATACTTAGGGGTTATATAAATTGGCTTAGGTCCTTTGTGTTTATACTATCTAGCTGCTAAACAACTTATATTCAGAAGAAATTACCAAAGGAATATTTTTTTTTAAAGGGAGAGGCTGGAGAGAATCATCTCTGATTAATCAATGAAGTTATTTTTATTTCACTAGATAAAATAAAACAAAGATACTTACTGTTCCTTTCTGACTTGCACTATCGCCATGGATGGTGAGAAATGGGTTGGTGGTAGCTGGGTGCAGTGGTGGCGCCTGAGTACCTGCAAGTAGGTTGTTTATTGGTATTTGTGTTGGTCCAGAGATCTGCAGCTGCTGTAATTCAGGCTGGTGGTGCTGCTGGTGGTGATGTTGTTGCATTAACTGATACAGAAGGGCTTGATGTTGCTCCTTAGATAAAAACATGTGAGAAAAAGATGAGTTCCCTGTCACCGAATTCAGCAGTCAGTAAAGCCTGCCTTTTCTATTTTCTTCTTTAATACCAGATATTTAAATATAAGTCATACCCATACTAAGAAAGAAAACTAGTATCTCTTCTAGTGGAAAAATACACTACGCTAGATACTAGCTACTATAAAATGTTAATACCATTAGTAAATGGCTTATTTTCAAAATCGGCAAATGTAGGAGACCTCTATTCAAATTAGGTTATCCATGATAATCAAGAACAGCAACTCACAGAACTCACAAGTTCTCTGTATTTGACTTTAGAATATACTATGTGGTCAAATCCTTTCTGTAATTCTAGGGACCTCAAATAAGTTTAAAGTTCTCATTCATATCAACAGAAAGACTGCTTTCTTCATGTAGCTATGAGACTGCTCTTTACAGCAAGCACGTACTTCATTTCCTGAGTGCTCCCTATGTGCCAGGCACTGTTTAGAGACATGTGTTTTGTGCTTGAGACATACTCGGGGGAGTGAGGGGGGAATCCCTGTCCTTATACAGTCCACCCTGGGAGGAAGAGGGAGAGACAAACAAAAATGTTAGAATATGAATATTGCTAAGGGTCAGGAGAAAGAGAGTATGTATGAGAGAGCATAGCAGGGGCGTGAATCTTGTGAAATAGGATGGTCAGCCCTGGCTGGTGTAGCTCAGTGGACTGAGCACAGGCCTGAGAACCGAAAGGTCAACTGGTTTGATTCTTGGTCAAGGCATATGCCTGGTCCCTAGTTGAGGGCATACAAGAGGCAACTGACTGATGTTTCTCTTGCATACTGATGCTTCCCTCCCTCTCTTCCCTTCTCTCTAAAAATAAAATAATAACAACAATGATAAGAATAAAATCTGTTTAAAAAATGAAACAGATTGGTTAGGGAATCCTCTATGTGGATATGGGTGGGGGGTGGGGTGCATTGTTCTAAGCAGACAGAGCAGCCAGTGCTAAGGGGCTACATTGCACATCCAGTATAATCAAGGGAGACAGCAAGACCAGGGGTGCTTAAGTGGAAGGAGCAAGGAGAAAGCAAGAGGAGAATATGGGCCTCACGGCAGTGCGCCATGAATACTTCTTTGGCTTTTACTTGAAGTAAAAGCCAGTAGAAGCTTTTGAGCAGAGAAGTGACACAACCTGATTTAGGATTTCTTGATGGATTCAATAAGAAATATCAGAGAAAGAGAGGAGTGAAGAATGACTATAAGGTTTTTGGCTTGAGCAACTGGAAGAATGGACTTGCTGTGAGCTAAGGAAGGGAAACTGTGTGTGGAGGAAGTGTGTGGTGGGAGATTATCATTTTGGTTGTGGACAGGCTATGCTTGAAATGTCTAGTAAGATATTCAAGTGGAGATGTCAAGTAAGCACTTAGATACAGGAGTTTGAAATTCCAAAGTAAGGCCTGGGCCAGAAAAATATCTATACACGAAAAGTATTTAAAGCTACGTCACTGGAGGAGATCACTGAATTCTAGAATACTCTGAGGCTGATAAGAGGAGGGAAGGAATGACCAGTTAGGCAGGAAAAATTTTAAGATAATGTGGTATCCTGGAAACTAAAGAAAGAAGTGTTTCAAAAAGGAAGGAGTGATCAACTCTGTCAAATGCTGTTGACAGCCACATCAAGTGAGATGAAGAACTAGAACTGACCACGGGAGCCCTGGCTGGTGGGGCTCAGTCGATTGGGCATTTTCCCACAAAGCAAAAAGTCACAGGTTCGATTCACAGTCAGGGCACATGCCTGGGTTGCAGGTTTGGTCCCTGGTCAGGGCACGTGCAAGAGACAATTGATTGATGTTTCTCTCCCTGTCTTTCTTCCTCCCTTCCCCCTCTCTAAAAATAAATAAATCAAATCTTTAAAAAAAAAATAAAAAAAGAACTGACCATAGGACTCAGCAACATGAAGGTCATTTGGGAGGAGATAGTGAGCAGAGAAACAGGGTAGCAGTTGGTAAGGGAATAAGGTCAAGCAAGAATTTTTCTTATAATGGGAGAAGAAAATATGCCTTATAATAATTCTTGCCTTCATAAAGTTCAATGTTTGTAAATGAACAAACTTTTACCTCACAACCCTGGCCAACAAAGGAAAAAGTAAGAGTTTCTACTGCTTCAGTCCTTATGTTTTTTGAGCAACAATTTGTGCTAAGAATTCCTTAATCAACCATGTTCTGGAAATAAGACATCTCTATGTGGTATTATGAGATTAAAGTCATGACTAATAGGAAGAGTCCCAAATTAGCTGGCTTTTAGTACTTATATTAAGTATTCATATTAAGATGAGGCTTGAGATAAGAAAACAAGATCACATGTTAGTGTAAGCATTAAGAATTTACATATAATCTACCTTTATACCACTGGAAATACAGTGACAATGAAAATGATGCCTCAATCAAAATAAATATTTTCAATATATTTTTTACTAAATCAAGAAAGTAGGTAGATATATTTTAGAAAGAAATTATGAAAAGACCAAAACCCTGAGTTGATTCAATAGTGCCTTCTACATGCAGTCTAACTCAGTGAAATATGCTCGGGAAACGGGACTGGAGAAAAGTCACACAACCGCCACAACTTGGTCTCACTACAAATTTATGACCACAGAGGGCCAGCCAGTGCTGCCCTTGCGTGTGAGCCGCACACTTCCGCGTGTCTTAGTTAATTCTTTCTCCCCTTCACGAGTGTATCTACTCATCTTCTTAACCACCAATAACACTCTGTTCTCCTTCAGCTGATGACTTTATTTATAATTTACTTTAAAAAATTAAAAACATTGAAAGTGGATATCCTCAACCTCCTATCATAAAATCCACTCACAGCTGTTCTGCCTGCCCTGTTCTCAGAACAGAGTGCTATGCTCAGCTCTTGTTCATCCTCAGGAACTTTGCTGTTCTGGGACTCTCATTCCTCTCTCCTATACCAGACATTAACCTATCAACAGAGACTGTCATATTCAAAATGAATAGAAACTACCCACTTAGGCCATGTCTTTCTTCTGTTAGGTACCCATTTCCTTGCTTTCTATAGTAAAACATCTTTAGTTGCCTCTATGCCACCTTCACCTTCCTCTCGTCCCATTTTCCTTTGAACCACTCAATGAGGTTTTTGCTTCTCACCAAAACTGCATGTGAGAAAAACCTCTAGACAGCCAAATCCAGTGGTCAGTTCTTACTTGTCCTGCCAGAAGTATTTGATACGGCAGAGTCCTCCCTTTCTTGAAACAGTTTCTTCACGTGGGCCCTAGGATACCACTTTCTCAGTTACTCTCTTAAGTCACTGCCCCCCCTCTTTCTTTTTTTAATATCCTTTACTAGATTATTCTCATCTTCCAGGATGTTCAGAGCTCAGTCTTCAGATCTTATCAAATCTTGTGAATCTAAACATCACATATCCAGTAATGAGTCCAAATTTACATATTCAACTGCATCCTTTCCTGGACACTCACCTAACTATCTAAAAACAGACATCTCAAACTCAGAATGTACACAGTAAACTCCTGTTTTCTCTGCAAAACCTATTCCTCCTAGTCATCCAAATCTCAGTAAAAGTCAACATCCAACTCTTTAAAGGACTCTTCTTTTTCTTGAATGCCCAACAGACAAGTATAGTTGGTTCTACCTTCAATAAATACAATTCCAGACAGTTTCCCACCACATTTACCATGCTGTTTTAGGACACCAACATATACCTGGGCTGCTCCTGTTTCTACTGTTGCCACCATCTTCCCTCCCAGCACACACAGATTATTCTCCATAATGCAGCAGCTAAATTCATCTTTTAAAAATGTGATTATCTTTTCACTATACTGTCCAAAGCCTTCCAATTAATTCTTTAAAATAATCCTGAAAGAAAAAAGTAAAAATAGAGGAAACAAAACTCTTTAAAAATTGGGACAATTATTAAAGCTCGGCAATTAGTACATGAGTATTATACTCTCTACTGGTACACTTAAAAAAGTCCATAATAGAAATGTAAAAAAAAAAAAAAAAAAAAAAAATCACCAATGGATTTCCATCACACTTAAAATGAATCTAAATTTCTTGCTACAGACAGCCCAACAAGGTAGTCTATGATCTTCTAGATCAAGCCTACCTGTTGGACCCTCTCTCCTCCGCATTAGGCTCTCTCATTCTGCACTCATGCTAGCCTTCTTTCTAGGCTCCAAAATATAAATACTTGTCCAACTGAGGTCTTTTACAGCTGCTGTTCCCTCTACCTGGAATGTGCTTTCTCTTCTTTTACTGGCCAAAAGTCATGCTCTTTAAACTTTTATTCAGATCTGTGCTCAAAAGTCACCTAGTCAAAGAAGCTGGACCATCCTATTTAAAATGGTCCTCATGCCACTGTTCTCTTTCACTTTACCCTGCTCTATTCTTCTTCTCAATACCTACGACTACCAAAAAGTATATATTCATTTATTGTCCATCTCCCCTCTCAAAAACAAGCTCCATGAACATATAAAGCCTTGTTCACCACCGTATCACCAGAGTCTATAAGAGCACCACAGCACATGAGGTCAACAGCACGTCTCTGCAGATATCACAGCCTATACCAAATGGCAAAACAAACTATTTTTGCATTATGCCTCCCATAACGTTATTTCACAAAATGCATAATCAGTACAGCACACAGAATATCTACTATAACTTATATCATGTTCTCCTAATAAAAAATCAAATATTATTGCTATCAAAAGGAAGCACTTACTGGCGTGAGCTGTTGAGAATTTAACAATTGCTGAAATTGCTGTTGATGAAGAAATATTTGTCTTTGCTGGTCAGAAAGTAATCCTAGTCCTGAGGCACTGCAAAAAAGATTAAAATTCTTACTTTCTACTATATAGCTTCCTTGTTTTTAAATGTAAAATGAAAGACCACTCTTTGATTTGATGTTTAATAAGTTCAAGCCAAGTTTTTAATAACACATTTTGAAAACAATGATATACAAATTTCTTATTTTTGTGTGTATGTGCATGTGCACACACTGCTGTGTGTACAAACACGCCGGCAGATAAACAAGAGTTCGCACTGTTGAGAAATGTTTTGTTTTCCTTTTTATTGTAAACTCAGCAGGTACTAAGTTATTTTATGGAATAGAATTTTACATGTGTTAACAACATACACATGTAATAATTTATTCTTAGCTATTCAAGAATAATTTAACCTACACTAAGTAAAACATATCTAAAACAAGAAATAACCCAAACACACTACTCAAGTGATTTGACCTAACCTTTTAAAATGGTCCCAATGGTCAGTAAAATTAAGTACCAGTGAAGAGAGAGCCAGAAAAGTTTACCAGTACCCCCTGAAAAATCCATTTAAAATGATTTATTCTTCAAGACTACGTTCAATAACATGACATTAATCTCTTTATTTTGAACAAACATTCAAATGAAATTCCAATACAATGAAACAGTGAGTCTCGCTCCCTAAATATTCAAGATAAATATCTAATCCTTCATCCTATCAAACTCTTTTATTATAAAGCTAACAGAATTACAGAGCTGAATTTTAAGAAATCAATGTTCATATGTGATCTTCATTACAGTATTACTTTTCTTTAGAATTAATGATACATAACGGCAGTATACACAGGATAAGATCAAAACGAAAATTTTCAGCATAGAATATATTTGATGTTTTGTTACTAAAGTGGCTGACTTTTGTTTTAATCTGAATTACTTAAATTTCAAAAATAAATGGCTCTCAGTAAATATACTTAGTTTAAAGTTTGGCAGATTGTAATTTCTTAGAGTACATCTATAAGTATATTAAAAATCCCAATCTAAAACATGGACAACAGTATTATGTTGCACTGAAAAACCAAAATATATTTTAAGTAAGTTTCTTACCTGTTAGTTAGTGTAGCTGGCATTGGATGAGTTGCATTAGGTGGTACAGTTGTGTGTGTTAGGGGGGTAGGGTTCTGGGATATTGTGACAGGGGTCTGAATAACACCATTTAAAGCTCCTACAATGCCATTAATTGCCAGTTGGTTACCTGGCAAAGCTCCAATTATCCCACCCACTCCAGGCACTGCAGGAATGGTGGATGTTACAGTCTGCATTCCACCAGCCAGCGCCCCCACTGTCACACCGTTGACCTGCTGCACTCCACTAACGCCTGTGCCCTGCTGAGCGGGGCTCTGCCCAGCAGGAGGCGGCGTAGAAAGAGCTGATGAGCTGCTGGTGCTTTGTCCACTGGAGGTTAAGTCCTAATGAAAGAAAGAATAGAAATTTAAATTGTCAGGAACACAGCAAAACTGTTTGAAATAATTTTAAGCCATTTAATGTGATATACTATTGTTCGTGAGTAAAATACACAAATGAAACTAACCACACCAAAATTACCTGATTTAATACAGGAAGAGAATTATCAGGTAAAAAGCTGTTTCCTAGATGAGGGCTCTTACTGCTGTTCAAGGAATCAGTAGTAGGAGCTGGAATAATAAAAGACAAAAAAAAACACAAACATCTATTTACCCTGTTAAATTGTGTTATATATAAGATTAAAAGCTTATCTAAAAGCTAATCCCAAAGCCCATATTAAAAACACTTAAAAATTAAGTCTTGCTCTTCCTAAGACCAGTTGAAATGGAAAAATCTATATCTCTATTGAATACCATGGCTTTAAATCAATAGAGATCATTATACATTTAAATTTTATCATTAGATTGTATGCTAAGAAGATAGGAAAAATTTAAGTTCATCACTTAAAAGGATTCTTTATGCTCTTCGAGATTACCATTTCTTTTCTACATTTTCATATAAGTTATTATTCACTTACTTAATAGGTATTTTAAGTATCGTCTACTTTCCTTAGACAATAAATATTTTCATACCATTCTGTGCTGAAAATGCATGAATTTGATGAGATGGACTAGGATTTGTTGTTATTGTTGGAAAAGGCACTGAGAGCTGTGCATTCAGTAACTGAAGGCGTTCCTTTTTGGCAGTTAGGTTTTTAATTTGTTCCTCTAATCTTCGATTTTCAACTTGAAGTTGGTGTAATGACTTCAGCATTCCTAAAACTAGCAAACATTTGGATCATTTTTAACAAAGACAAGTTCATACATAGGGCTAAGTATTCTAAGGACTTAAGTGTCCATAACTTTTGAAATAAGTTAAAATAGAAAAGTAGAAATTCTGTAAAGCACTTTTAAGTGTGTTAGTTTTATTCCTAAATTCATATGTAGATATAAATATACAATATATTTGTACATATATAAGGATAACTAAAACAAAAAAAACCCCACCTAATTCAGGTAATTTCCATCCTCAAGAAAATAAAAAATGACCAAAACATTCTATTTTCGTCAAAATAAAAGGCTAAATAAAAATTCAAAGTGCCTGTCATGATTATACACTAATAGCGCCTTTAAAGTGGGAAAGAATCACACCAATACCCTTCAATGCAATAAAGACCTTTTTTTTCTGCTTGGTTAAGCTAAGTATGCCACCAGACAAGGTAAGGAACCTCCAAATCCAGCTGCTCAGCATGCTAATGCACAGATCTCCCAGCAGGGGGCAGTGTGCACGCACCTCAGTCCCCACTCCCAGAGAAGGCTCATCATCTGTAAACAGACTCAGTTTCTGTCCTGCCTCATCACCTCAAACACAACTGGGAGCTTTAGAATGACAACATAGAGTGCTACTGTTATGCCACAGTGATAGACACTTTAAAAGTCCTATGTCTTAAAAAGTAGTATTTGTTTAACATGCCCTCAGGGCCTTCAAAAGACATACATGGTCATTTCCAAAGATTTTAACACTTATCCCTCCTCCTCATGATCCCACAAAGAAACCCTTACTTAGTGCACCCAAGTGAAATGCAGTGAGACTAAGCAAAACCGTCCTCCAGCTATCATATTCAAAGGATTATCCCAGCATGAATTTCCCTACAATCAGCATTTTTTTTTTTTTTTGGTCGGCACCCTATTCATAAAAATACCAATTTATGGCAGTTGTCTACTAACAATAAACAAAATGTTTTAATAAATTAAAGCAGCAAAAATTTATATCCCAAAATGATAAAACCCACCGATTTTCCCCTGAAAAATATGTCCTTGACACTAGGTCACTTTTCCAGTTAAATGTACTGTAACTTTGTTTTTTGGCTTATTACATCGATGGTCCCCCCCCACCAATAATTAAAACTGTGAAGATGCTAAATATATATATTTATATATAAAACATATACGATTTAATAAGTAAATGATATACAATGTATAAAAATTACATATATATAATTTGGTCATTATTATTCTCATACAAATTATAAAATCAAAAAGAGAGTTGGCCATACTGAACTCTATGCATTTTTTAAAATACGAGGCGCCGCCCCCCAAAACTCAGAATTTATGTATAAAGAATTGTGTATTCTTACACATTTAAATTTCAGTCACCTTCAAAGTACTCTCCATTTGATGCAATACACCTATATCAAGACTTTTTATTCCACTGCTCACCACAGTTTGTGAACTTGTTGATTTTGATGCATTTTAGTGTTTCTGCTGTTTTTTTTTGTTTCACCTTTCCACATCAGCAAAACATTTCCCTTTGAGGAATTTTTTCATCCAGGGAAACAAAAAAGTAACTCAGGACGAGATTGGTTGAATAGGGAAGGTAGGGCATAGGTCATGTTTTTTGTCAAAAACTGCTTAATACTCAGTACAGTGTGGACAGGTGCACTAGTAAATCACCCATGATGAAATAGGCAAATGCATTGAAAGAGTCTTCAATAAAAAATTCACTGAAGCCAGAGCAACCTCTGACAACAACGCGAGCTGGTACACTGATACAAATGGGTTCCTAGAACACTCACCTAGCAGGGGGAAGCCTGTGCTACAACGGGCCCGCCCTCCAGAAGATAATTCTAGTTTTTTTGGGGCCCCCCCCTCATAAATTCTCCAGAGGTGAGCAAATTTTCTTCAAACAATTAAGCTAAAAGAAAAATATAACTTGTATATTTTAGTAAGTTAAAAATTGATGTGAATATGAGAAACAATGTATCAATATTATAACAATAACCAGTGAATAAGTGCTCTCTTTGAGTCAAGCAATATTCTTTACATTTTTTAAAAAAATCTTCATCCAAAGACATTTCTTCATTGCTTGTTAGAGACAAAGGGAGAGAGAGAAACATCAATGTGAGAAAGAAGCACCAACTGATGGTCACCCCTCCATGCCCAGACCATGAGTGATGTGCTCCTAGACCAAGGATCACACGTGTCCAGACCCAGGATCACGTGCACCCAAACCTAGGACTCAATCCGTAATCCAGACATATGCCCCAACCAGGAATCAAACCTGCAACCCTTCAGTTATAGGATGACAAAATCACCCAAACCACATTGGCCAGGGCTACATTTTTTTTTAGTCATTTAACTGTCAAAACACTATGATAAAGATACATTATTACTCCCTTCTAAAATGGGAGACAAAAGCACATTGACACTTAATAAATTTACCCATGATCACAGTGTCAATAACAGATAAAGACAGGATTCAGGTCCAAGCAGTAAAAGTATAGAATTTGTTCTATTAAACCACTATATTGCATTTTCTTACATATAAAACATGTATCATACTTTCATTGCTATTCTTGATGCAGTGTGACTTCTGCACGTGTGTGTGTGTGTGTGTGTGTTCATCCTCCTAGCCATCTGTTCATCTTTCTTTAAAGACAAAAAAAGAATACTTACTGTCACTAGGAGTACCCTGTTCTAGTAAAAATTGCTGTCCTTCACTCCACTGCCTCTCCAAAAGTTGTTCTATGCTGGCTGCTACTGGAGGCAGGTTTTCCAAACTGCTGTTGCCTGGTGGATCATAGCGAATCTGTAAGCTGCTTACAGGAGATCTGTTGAAAGTATTAATCGCCAGGTTAAACAGAAGAACCCTTTGAAGGAGAGCGCATTCACATTTCTCACCTTATGATAACCCCTTTCCAGTACAAGTTTTCTAACACCAAGATACTTATATGCTAGAACAATAAAATCACATAATCTACTCTAAAATTTAGTAATTATCATTCTTGTTACTCAAATTGTAAAGTCAAGGGATTAGCTGGACATACTTGTTAATTAAAAACCCCTAGAAAATATAAACATACCACCAATAACCTCTGAAACAGACTATAAAAGAACTTGATATAGGTTTATGAAACAAAAAGGAAACACAGGATTTAAAAAAACCTTAATATAACTAGCCATAAGAATAAAAAGTTCCAACACTCTGCTTTAACATGCAAAAATCAACACTTTCAATATTAAGATGAATATGTAATATTCTCAATCACTCACTTTTTGTTTTAAATTAGTAAATGTGGCCATTTCTGGTTCCCAGCTCCCATACTAATATATTAGTAAAGGCCTTGCTTTAGAGTTTCCAAAGTGTTTCCACATAATCATCTCATAAGACCTTCACAACTACCTGGTGAGAAGTCAAAACCTGGCTTATTGGCTCTATTTCCACCTGAGTTAAAAAATGGGGCGCGAGTGACCTGTCTGAAAGCACACTGCTGGCAATGACAGAGCTGGGGCTACAACGCAGGTCTTCTAAAAACCCACTATTCTTTTGCCACTGCCTTAAAATGCTTCTCTAGAAAAATCTCTTTAAATAAGTTGTTAAAAAACTGAGGTTTTTTATTCCATATGAAAATATCATGTGCTACATACATTTGGCCATTGTACTCCACATAGTGCATTGTGCCAGGATAATTTAGGCTGTTACATTTCAGGCCCATCATGCAAGGGTAATATAAAGTTGGACATATAAGCTAAAAATAATTTTGTACCATTTATTGTGTTAAATCCCATTTAGCTAATAAAAAAAAAATGATACCCCGCAAAAGAGCACTAAAGGAGCTTAAATAATTTCTGAATAGCTTGTATTGTATTTTAAGTTTAATGGGGGCCGGGACACCCAGAAATGCTTTCTCTAGTAAACATGACGAAAAATCCAGTAACTTTCTTCTTTGAAAAGAATAAAGCAGTACAAAAGTAATCACGGCATAAAATTAGAGGTTAGTCAGATGTTGTTATTACTGTGTATAACATTCATATTCCTAGTTTCAAAAGAAAGAATATTTAATTTTCTACAGAGTTCAATTAGGAAAAACAATACTAACTTTAGTTCAACTAGAATTATACAGGAAAAAGGCACTAATAGTATATGTACAAGGAAATAGCAAAATTAGAGGTTTTTGTACTATTCTCTTTAATGACAAATACACTTAATAGAACTTTCCAGACCGTATCAGTAACACAGCAACACTGACACTCATGGTAGTTACCATATACAAATTTTAATTTTTAACAGAACTTTTATTTCCCATAGTTGAAAAAAGACTCTAGATCGGGCTTTTTCCTCCTTCTGTTCTCCATTCTCACCCAGTCCGTTACCATACTGAAGCCAGAGTTTACAAAATTAGAGAATAGAAAACAAACCAGGAGAAGGTGTAGAAGCTGAAAGCAGAATAAAATCAATTAAAACACAGCCAGAGCCAATGATTTTAATTGATTTTATTCTATACTTTGATTCAAACAATTTTAAGAACTAGAGAGATTTTAGAGATGAGCAACAAAAACCTCATTTACTGAATTAGGAACTAGGGACTAAAGAGTTAAGAGCATTGCCCACAACAGAAAAAAACTGGAAGCCAACATTGAAAGCCTTGATTGAGTATTTAGTATTAAGAGATTTTAAGTCTATTTTATGACCAAAAAGAATTACCCAAATTAATGCATTAATAGTACTAGCAGCTAAACATAATAAAAACAAGAAATTTCAACTTGATTGGAAATCTAAGAGTTATAGCTTTTAAAAATCTTAGATAGCCATAGCAATCAGATAAGAAGAAATAATAGGCATCCAAATTGGAAAGTAAAACTGTCTTTATTTGCAGATGACATCATAATGAACATGTAGAACCCTAAAGATGCCACCAAGAAACTACCAGAACTGATCAATGAATTCAGCAAAGTAGCAAGATACAAAATTAATATTCAGGCATCAGTTGCATTTTTATATGCCAGTAACAAATTAACAGAAAAGGAAATTAAGAAAACAATCCCATTTACAATTGGTTAAAAAAAAAAATACCTGGGAATAAATCTAACCAAAGGAATAAAAGACCTGTACTCAGAATATATAAGACACTGATGGAAGCAACTGAAGAAGATGCAAATAAGTAGAAGTACATACTGTGTTCATGGATAGGAAGATTAACATTATTAAAATGTCTATACTACCCAATGAAATCTACAGATTCAATGTAATTCCTATCAAGATACAAATGGCATTATTTCACAGAACTAGAACAAATATTTCAAAAATTTATGCGGAACGACAAAAGGTCCTGAACAGCAACAGTGACCTTGAGAAAGAAGAAAAGCATCGGTAAAATCACGCTATCTAATATCAAATCATACTATAAGGCCATAGTAATCCAAACACCATGGTACTGGCAATAAAAACAGACACATTGTCCTGGCTGGTGTGGCTCAGTGGATTGAGCACCAGCCTGCAAACCAAAGAGTCTCTGGTTTGAATCCCAGTCAGGGCACATGCTTGGGTGCGAGCCAGGTCCCCAGTGAGGGGCGCGTGAGAGGCAACCACACGTTGATGTTTCTCTCCCTCTCTTTCTTCTCCCTTCTCCTCAGTCTACAAATAAATAAATAAAATATTTAAAAACAAAAATAGACACATAGGTTAATGGGACAGAATAGAGAGCCCAGAAATAAACCCACAACTTTATAGTCAATATTTATTTGACAGATGAAGCAAGCACATACAATAGGCTAATTTATCCAATATATGATGTTGGGGAAATTGGATAGACAAGTTCATAAAAATGAAACTAGACCATCTTTTTATGCCACACACAAGAATAAAATTCAAAGTGGATTGAAGAGTTAAATGTTAGACCCAAAGCCATCAAAATCCTAGAAGTAAACATAGGCAGTAAAATCTCACACATTGCTCACAGCAATATTTTTTCTGATGCATTTCCTCAGAAAAGGGAAACAAAAGAAAAAATAAACACTATTACATCAAACTAAAGTTTTTGTACAGCAAAGGAAACCATCAACAAAATAAAAAGAAAACCCACTTAATGGGAGAACACAGTTGCTGATCCATCTGCTACAGGGTTAATATACAAAATTTATTAAAAACTTACAAACACCACCAAAAAAAAATCAATCCAATTAAAAAATGGGCAAAGGACCTGAATAGACACTTCTCCAAAGAGTAAATACACATGGCCAATAGACATATGAAAAGATGCTCAACATCACTAATCATCAGAAAATTGCAAAGTAAAACCACAATAATATATCATCTCACATCGTTCGAATGACAATCATCAATAAATGAACAAACAAGTACTGGTGAGGATGTTGTGAAAGGAACACTTTTGCACTGTTGATGGGAATGCAGACTGGTGCAGCCACTGTGGAAAGCGGTATGGAGATACCTCAAAAAATTAACAACAGATCTGCCTTTTGACCCAGTTGTCCCACTTCCAGGAATATGTCCAAAGAAACTCACTCAAAACACTAATTTGAAAGAACATAAGCACGCCTATGTTCATTGCAGCGTTATTTACAATTGCCAAGATACGGAAGCAGCCAAGTGTCTATCAGTAGATGAGTGGATAAATCAACTACGGTACATATACACAATGTAATACTACTCAGCTGTAAAAAAGAAGATAATTTTTACCCTTTGAGACAGCATGACTGGACCTGGAGAACATTATGCTAAGTGAAATAAGCCAGTCAGAGAAAGAGAAATACCATATGATTTCACTCATTTGTGGAATTGAATAAACAACCTGAACTAGCAAACAAAATAGAGACAGACTCAGAGACAGAGAGCAGGCTGACAGCAGTGGAGTAGAGGGAGTGGTTAGGGGATGAAGGAGCAGAGCAAAAAGGTAAAAGGACTCATGGACATCGACAACAGTGTAGTGATGGGGGTGGGGGGGCAATAATAAGGAGGGTAAATGGTACTGGAAAAAAATACAATCACACTTTTTTAAAAAGCTTAGAAATGTGTGTATAAATTAACATTCACATTTATTGAGAATCATTTTTTTTTCTTTTTTTTTTTTTTTTTAAGATTTTATTTGTTTGGGGAAGGGAGAAAGAGAGGGAGAGAAACATCACACACCGCGCGCTGGGGACCTGGCCAGCAACCCAGGCATGTGCCCTGACTGGGAATCAAACCCAAGACCCTGTGGTTCGCAGGCTGGTGCTCAATCCACTGAGCCACACCAGCTAGAGCTGAGAATCATTTTTCTTGACTGTCCATACATGCTTCTTATCTTCAGAATGCTTTTGTTACAAATGTACACTCGCTGATATGAGATAAGGAAGTTTCCAATCTCAAACTGTTTCTTTTGCTTATACTTTGCAGTGTAAATAATGCTTACCTTGGTGAGAGACTTCCCCGGGGAGAGCTTCCTCTGCCAACAAGGCTGCGGCTATTGTCTCCAAGATCCTGATCTGCAGTGTAAATATTTCATAGTTGATAAAGTTGACTCTCACCAGATAAGTTTTAAGCTCTTGCCCTAATTTTTCCTAAAATATACATAAAACCTTTACCACTATCTTTGTAGTTACTATGAAAGTAGAAGACCCAGCATGTTGCTAGTTTAGAATTGCTGAACTGTGGCATGTAAGGTGTTGCCCCTACATGTTTCTGTGGGTATAGAGGCCATGGATTATGTTCTATTCTTTTATTCCTTTCAGTTTTACAGCACAGAAGCGTGGTTTGCATTTGCAGTACTTCCCCTCAGCCACTTTTAATTTCTACGGTTAAAGTAATGAATCACAGCAGTGGACAGCTAATCTGTATGCATATCACAGCAAATCCTTAAGCTTTGTATTTTTTAACACTTTGTATCCCAAAACAAATGATAAAATACCTAATGTATTACACAGAGCCACACACCAACACTAAAATTTTATATATAACACAAACCCTCATACCAAAAATAAAGTTACATATAACAGTAAATATCCAAATTGACAAAAATAAGTAGGAATGCAGAATTCTGTATTCACATGGAAAAAAATTAATTTCTTCAAAATATTCCTGAGGTAACAGAAAACTCTCTGCCTGTAAAGTAACTTGAATTTCCCCTACAGTTCGTTACTTATAAAAAGCATCCTATCTGGCCTCTTTCAAGGTTGTCCTTCCCTTATTCTGAGTAAAGTAACCTCTGACCCTTAAGGGGTAAAGACATGACTGATCCATTCTTGGTGAACTGCTAAACCCATTCCCTTCCCCCAAACAGCATGACTACTTGGACATGTCAACAAATCCTTAAGGATGGAATGAAACAAAGCAAATCCAGCAGCTCATTAAAATAGTACAAGAGGCAAATGCTACAAAATGTCAACTGGTAAAATTTCACAGGATTACTAAACACTGTAGAAATTCTCTAACAGGATTTTTTTAACCACATTTGTATAATGCAGTTTCATGAATTATGCAAATAAAGGTTTAGGCTATTCACAGAATAGCCTAGTGTTATGTCACTTTCATTGCATAGAACTGAGAACTGAACACATCAATCACAAAAGTCACAGAAGACATTGTTGCATTCCTGCCTGCTCATGGCTCTGCTTAAACATTTACATTTGAGACAGTGAAAAAAACACATCACAATTTTGCAGCACAGCATATTATTTACTTCCAACTGTGATTCTTCTGGTAAAAGAAAAAAAAAAAAGGCATGATCCTATATTAAGCACACCTTTAGACTTTTCATATAAAATGAGCCACTGAGGGAGAAATTACATTGAGCAAGAGGAACTGAATTTTAGAGTGTAAATATTCTTGAAAACTCACCTGTCTGAGTGTTTTCAGACTGAGCAATTAGAGCAGCCATCGAAGAATTTGGATTTAACCTATTGCCATACATATGAGACGGTGCCTGACTGAGAGAAGATCCAGATAGGGTATTTGCCTAAAGGAAAAGAATTACAAAGGTAAGTGAATTATATCTGAAAAATAGTAACTATTTTTGCCAATCTACAAATATATATAAGCAAAAATTCATGACTTTCTGAAGAGCAAATTTCATTTTTACTTGTCTTACCATCATGACATCTGAAAAGTTTCAAATTAAAAAACAAAAACAAAACTGTAACAGTCAAAGTTAACTATTCCTGCTTTAATTTCAAAGTATCTGGTCAATACCAAAACCCAGTGGCATAGTAACCATGTGAACACAGGATTAATTATTTAATCTTATTAAACCACTTACAAAATAAGGGCAGGTAGACAAACAGATGTCTAACATGCTTTAGTCCCCTACATCACAGGATGCTAACAAGGTCAAAAGGCCCAACTTCTACTTTTAGTATTTTAATTATTCAGAGTCATATTTCCATTGCTTAATTTAACTCTGTTATTAGTAAAACCTGCACACTACTTTGTTACTTTCTATTTTGATAGACTCAGAAGCCTGAGTGCATTTTGTTTTTATTTTAAAAGAAAGCAAACGGGCATCACAAGTATGTTTTCTATACAATGCAAGGCTAAAGGAATCACAGCTTTGCTCTGACCCCATATAAGGCGCTGCCTTTTTGGCAGGAAGCCAGCTCTTACTAACTGAAGAGCTAGTCCAAAGTTTGTAATTCATTCATGTTGCTAACCACAATTCTGAAGGCCTCTACTGGGACTTGTGCCAAACAAGTGAAAATGAACCCTTAAACAGATGAAGCTAAGGAGGCTGGCCAAAGTCTTGCGTAATCCAGTGTAATAAAAATGCCTTCTTTGATGTGAATGGTTTCTCCCGCTTTCCAAGAATATTATAACCTTAAAATGTGGCATTTTGGAAGCAAATCTCTTGTACACAAAATACTGTTACTCATAGAAGGCTATTAGTAGCCTGAAATACTCTTCAGATTTAATAGGCCACAGATTTTAAAGTAGACTTCTTATTCTTTTTCATGAATGAAATTAAACTTAGGCTTTTATAAAATGAAATCACTGTAAAATTATGTCAGAACAGAATTCTGGAAAATAATTTCAAAAAATTAAAGCACATCTAATATAAAGAAACTGAGTAACAGCAGAACAAAAGATGTGCAATATTTTGACACGTATGGTTGCAAACCAGAGACCAAGATGACATAGTAGTTAGAACAAGCAAAATATTACAGAGAATAAATGCTGTTTCTGCAAAGACTCAGACCCTGACATTGTATTTGGCCTCTATACAACTTATTAAGTATAAAAATTGGACTTTAATTCACAGAGTCTCCTTAATATGGAATCCTGTCCTTGCTTTCCACTGTTTCAAAGGGTGTTTTCATGTCTTAAATTCAGTCAGTTTTTGGGTTTCGTTTTTCCTCTTATTAAAGATATGTATACAAAGCCAATAAGTTTGTACTAAAAAGTCCTGTTTAACCTTCAATTAGCTCTCAGGAAAAGGTAACTTGCAATTTAACCTAAAGATCATACTCGATACTTGCCATGTACTTAGTTTTACATACATAAATTACACAATTCATAAATGAAAATATAGTTAAGATTTTTTTACCTCTTCAGAAGTCAAATACTTGGGAATCTCAACTACACAGAAAATAACTTAGAAAAACACAAAATCCGGAAAAACAGAAAAGACCAGGTGTTACCAACGGCATGTTAAAATTCCAGGTACCTTATACTTAAAAATGCCCTTCACAGAATCAATATACTGTTCCTCTAGACATAATTCTAAAAAGATCGACTAAACATATAACAGATTAGAAATGGAAAATTAATTAGAAAGAAGAAGAAAAAGTAGTATCTTGAGACAGTTTGCTGGCAGGCAAGCAGTAACAGCTGACCGCAAGAGAGGAGAGAGAAAATATGAGCAAGAATAAGTGTATTACAGAGTGTGGTGGGGTGGTGTTCAAAGAACATGGACATCTAGATGCCTTAGCATCTGCATTTTGATTCTTTTTCATGCAATCAACTTTTGGCTGAATCAGAACATTACACCAGTTAGACTACTTGTTTAGTTCCAATTATCAATTTTATGAGCTGCCTTAGTCTCTTGGTAAGAAACAAAAGATCCTCCTCTAATCAGAAATACACCCTTTTCCAGCAAGGGTTCCTTTTGCCAAGGACATTATATTTACCCTTATTACTACAAATTTCCTTTCTTTTTTAAAATTTAATCTTTTTTATATTTTTCCCATTATACCCTCTTCCCGCCAGCAATCACCACACTGTTGTCCATGTCTATGAGTCCTTTTTCCTTTTTGCTCAATCCTTCTACCCCATAACCACCCCCACTTGCTGTCATCTATTCTTCATCCATGGGTCTCTCTCTGTTTTGCTTGTTAGTTCAGTTTGTTCATTAGACTCCACATATGAGTGAAATGATATGATATTTATCTGTCTTTGAGTGGCTTATTTCACTTAGCATAATGTTCTCCAGGTCCATCAATACTGTTGCAAAGGGTAAAATTTTCTTCTTTTTTACAGCCGAGTAGAATTCCATTGTGTAAATGTCCGATAGTTGTTTTATCTACTCATATACTGATGGTCACTTGGCTGCTTCCATATCTTGGGGATTGTAAATAATGCTGCAATGAACATAGGGGTGCTTATGTTCTTTCAAATTAGTGTTCTGGGTTCCTTTGGACATATTCCCAGAAGTGGGACAGCTGGGTCAAAAGGCAGATCTGTTGTTAATTTTTTGAGGTATCTCCATACTGCTTTCCACAGTGGCTGCACCAGTCTGCATTCCCATTAACAGTGCAAAAAGGTTTTCCTTTCTCCACATCCTCACCAGGACTTGTTTAATTTACTGATGACAGGCATTCTGACAGGTGTGCTATGGTATCTCGTGGTGGTTTTTATTTGCATTTCTCTGATGATTAGTGACACTGAGCATCTTTTCATGTGTCTATTGGCCATGTGTATATGTCCTCTTTGTAGAAGTGGTATTTTCACATGTCAATGATGGAAAAAAAGGGAAATTAAGAAAACAATCCCATTCACAATTGCTTCAAAAAGAATAAAATACCTAGGAACAAACCTAACCAAGGACGTAAGAGGCCTGTACTCAGAAAATTGTAAGACATTGAAGAAAAAAAGAAGATAGAAATAAGTGGAAGCATATATCATGTTCATGGATAGGAAGACTTAACATCATTAAAATGTCCATACTACCCAAAGCAATCTATAGATTCGACGTAATTCCTATTAAAATTCCGATGACATATTTCACAGAACTAGAACAAATATTTCAAAAAATACGGAACCAAATTTCTTGATGTAGTTTACAAATTATCTTAGTTTCCACATCACACACTAGGTTCACTACACTAAAAGATTAAAATGCAAAAGTAGCATAACAGCATAATAACATTTGCATAACAAATATCATCAGGAAGAAGATAAACCATCTTTAGCCTAATTTCAAAGCAGAAAAGTATATATTTTATAAAGATGGCAGACAAAAGCAAATTAATAAAATAATAAACTAAAATGGGAATGAATTCTTCATGATCCTAAATGACCAATTTCCCAAAATTTTCTGAATAGGTAAAAATTATCTAGTAGTTGTTTGCTTTTTAAAAAATTACTGCATTTATCTAAATGAGAAACTTTCAAGAGATTAAAGTAACTTTTAAATTTTACCAGGTAGAATTTTGTGGTGTATTAAAACAACTAAACCATGCTACATTAAAACTCGATTTCATTAACATCATTTTCAGTGGGTAATACGAGTCACCAAAGACTCCACAAACATCTGACATTGCTTAGTCAACGCTTCTGAAATGTGTTTTGAATGGTTAATTCTGGGAACCCTTGGTAACTGTTGGCACTGTAGGTAGTGCCAAGAAATCCCCAACATTTTAGTGAAAAGATTCCATAACTTAGTATCAATTAAGGAGGATAACTGAGAGAGTGGGGAAAAGAAAGATGCCTTACTGAGAAGAGCACACACATAATGTCTGGCAATCTGCAGACTCAAAAACCTTTATGGTCATTAATATATGAAAGCACTAAGATTCAGAGGGATGGAAGGATGCCCAAGTGAACCTAAAGAAATCATGGTTATGAAGCATAAAGAGCACTGAAAGCTTTTATATAAAAAATCTGGAACAACAAAGTAAAGAAAACGATATATACACATTTCTCCACAGCATACTTTGGACATGGGTTTTATAAAGTACACTGAAAACAAATTACTAATGTACCACAGGACTGTTTCAGAAGACCTGGTATAAAGACTGGCAATTCTTTCTAGAGGGAAGTATCTACCTTACAACATTTAAATTTTATGTAGATCAGGTAAGGAAAATGGCTATTGTGGACAGATATCCTCCTTGGGTTTATTGGCACTATAAGAATATGAGTTGTCAACACGGAGTGAAGGGTATCCATAATATATGAGTGTATTAACACTGTATTCTGCACTGTTTTTGAAACTTTTCTATACATCTAAAATATTTCAAAATAAGTTACAACAAAAAGAATATAATTAAAAACACACTAGGCACTTGGATTTATCGTGCCCCATTTAAATCAAGTCATCTCAAAATGTGAAAATAGGTTTTAGATTATACCAAGAAAAAATATTTTATAAAATTATAAATTCATATTGCCATAATGAACTTTTGCTATAACTTCTAATACATGTTATCTTAAGAGAGGTTTTTTTTTGGTTTGTTCCCCAAGATTAATAGTTGAAAGGAACCACTTCCCTCAAGATGTTCTATTACACTTACTCTAATAACACTCTTGTAAAAGCCTCATTAAAAGAAGTACAATTATTTTACAAGATGGACCCAAAGACAAGCAGAGTAAGAATAAACTGAACAATTATTGAGGAAAATCTAAGTTACTTTTAAACAAAATATGTTTAGGCACCTGAGTCAAAGAATTCCCTTAGCAAATTTAGAATAACTTACTATGTTAAACATCTAGAAAAATACGTGAGTCTACCAAGGCAGTATTCAA